AATATGTTTTAACTTCTGTTGTTTTCAGTTATTTGCATTTTAAAAGCTCTACTTTGAGTCATTATACCTTCCTTGAATTTTGTTATTTTCATAATATAAGATGTTCAATGTCCTGAAATTACAATTCTCTAAGTTAGTGAAGAATAAAAGAGTTTGGTACAACATGCAAATTCAGTGTTATGTATGCAGAAATATATATATATATTCTGGTGTGCAGTTATTGAACCCTGTAAGTTATTCTTAATGGAGATAGCAAGATCTCAAAGGCCACCTACCAGAGGGGATGTCTACCTTGCAGTCCTGATACCACCAAGAAATGGGAGCACAAGAACAAGACAGCACAGTCAGTAAAATGTTTTCTTTTATAGTCTGCTTCAACTTCAGCCATGTAGAATGGAAGCCTGTTTACTGCAGTGGTGTTAGAAAATGAGCCTTAGCAGAAGCTGAATCAGGTTTAATGAGAGTAACTGTTTGGAGTATGTGCAGTAGTGCAATAATGCATTTTATTTTAATTCCTGTCACTCTATAAGAAGCAAATCTCCTTCCTCCTCTCAGCAGCAATTCCTACTCATCCTCTCATATAGTTCAGGCTTTTTATATTACGACTATTACTACTTCAGTTTTCTTCTCAAACTCGATCCTGGTTTGGTATACATCACTGATGTTCTGCTGAGCTCCAAGCATTTCTTCACGGATCTATGCCAACTCAAGTCATGGCTCTCCCACGGATTTTGCAATGTTTGAGGATATTCCACTGTATTGAGATAATCCTTGCATGGCTTGAGAGCAGCTTTTTGTGCTAGGCTTAGAGCTTCATCTGGTAGTAACTGTTCGGGTTATCCTGTGGTCTTTGAGCCAAAATCAGTCTTGGAAGGGGAGGCAGTGCTGGGTGGAGAACTTCTTCTGCACACCTGCAGTAGCTAATGGGACAATTGCTGTGAAATGCATGTTGCTCTTTGGGCTTTACTTGATTTAAGATCTATTGCTTTTGAAGAACTGCCCTATTTTTTTCTGGGTTTGGAAGGGGCTTTTGGGGTTTTTTTTATGCTTTGTGTTGACCAAAGTTCTGCTGACAGAATAGGCAGCAGAGAGCTTTGGTCCCCACTCAGCATTCCTCACACAAAGGAGCTTCACAATCACTCTCAGAGTACTTTACTTAATTAATCATCTGCCTTTATTGATATTTTACATAGCGATGCCTTTAGAATAATTTGTTTTTCCTTTCGTCAAAGTACATTGTATTGTTCAATCCTTCCAGACGCATCTCGGTGGTATTGCAGCATTTACGGATCTCACAGGTACACTGAGCATCCCCTTCCCTTGCCCAGAGTAACACTGACACCCTGTGGCCTCGCACCGAATTCCCACAGCCTCCCTGCTTTGCTTTCAAATTCCCCTCCGAACTGCTTACACCGTGGGGAGGATCACAGGAGGAATCAATCCCTCCTCTACACATAGGAGGGCGTCATCGGTTTGTCATTTGACTCTCATTAGACGTTTCCATTACTGAATGTCTAATGAGCACTTTGACTCTAAGATACAGAGAACACTCTCTGCCCCAGATGGCCAAATGCTTGAGAAGGTGGAGCAGGAAACAGAAATCGAGAAACGAAGAGAGATTACACTTCAGTTTAAACTGACATTACAGGAATATACTGCTGTTCATTATCTTTCACACTGATTTTCTCTGACGTGGAAACTGCCTACTTAACTACATCAGAATGTAATGACAAAGATATCCACAATATAAAGGTACCCACAATATAAAACTGTACTACATAAACAACTATATGTTGAAGTTAGTATCATCCTTTCTTACTGGCATCATTCCTTTGGTTTGCTTAATGAGTCTAAATAGCAGAATTGCTCTGTAATTACTGACAATTGTGATTCCAGTTAAGCCTCTCACTGTACAGTACTATAGTTCTGCTATCACATGCTAATGTAAAAGTCATGTACCCCAGTTAAACATTTTTCAGTGAGTTTAACCTCTGACACTCACTATGTCTTTCAGGCAACGTAGCTGACTGAATACAATGTTCTGCACGCTGGAAGTGGTTTAAGCCTCATGCATATGAACCAGCTGATGAAAGAAAGATTTTAAACTTCATGAGAGGAAGTGGTCTACTTTGGGTTGGTTTCAGGTTTTTGTGGTGGTGAGTGTTTCAAGTTGGGTGTTTGTTGGGTTAGGGTTTTTTTAATGGATGTAGGAAGGAGAAAATGTTATGAAATATTGTGCAAATATTCCTGTGAAGCTTCATTTGAATCTTGTTACACACAGATTGCCTCAAAAAATTAATAGGCATGCACGGAAGATAAATTAGGCTTTGTGTCCTCTGTCTTGTCCTATCAAGAAGCCATTTAGTTTAGGTATTTGTGTGGCAGGGCAGTGTCCTTTTAGCAGTGGAATAGACTGTACTACTCAATGGTTTATTCTTGAAAGATTGTTGTAAGCAAGTTAGACAAGTGTTTATGGGAAATATTTTAGGTAGAGCTGGATCTATTTCAAAGTGGAGAGATGGAGCAGATGACTTCACAAGGCTCCTCCCAGTCCTTCCTTCAGCGAGTTTATGGTTGTGTCAGGGAACTTTGTGTTTTAAATAGTATTTTGTGCACATCTGGTATTATACTTTCCCAAGTCTCATTCTGTTTGCTCGAGTGCCATCCAGGAAAACACTGGCTCCTCTCACTACCTTCTTCCTTTTGTGGGCTCAGCAGACCTGTGGTTTGTACAGATGGTGACTGAGTAGCATGAGTACTTGTGTTGAACAAACAAAGCACGTTACTTGCACCATCAAAAGCTCTCGATGTCCCTGAAGGACTGACACACAGGAACCCCACTGGAGGCCAGCACAGAAGGCAAAAAAAAGGGGCAGCTCCACTTGGAAGCACAGCTCTTTCCTTTCATTTGGCTTTACAGAATCTCTTCAGGTCAGTTTTCAGAATCAGTTTCTGCTTTGCAAAATCAAGTTTTCACAGCCCCTGGTGTCTGTAATAGTGCCCTCCTGGCTTCACAGCTGTTCCCCTGGGGACATGCTGGTTCTGAGGAGAGGATTTTGCTATACAAGTTAAGAAGATTGGAAGATACAGGGACTCTAATTCTCCCTTAAAGAACTCACTTAGCATATATGAGCACTCCCTGACAGACCATGCAGACAAGGCATTATTGACCTGTGCCTCCACCCACTTAGCACTTTATAGTTCAAAGACAATAGGTCACACTTCAGTATTATTGTATTTGGGCTTTTAGTTATTTGCTTTAGCTGAGATTTAGAAAAAAATAATTTTAAAACATCAAAAGTAAAATTGGATAGGGTTTCATGTGTGGTTTTATATCTGGATCAATCACACAAGAGTTTTACAAGAGAAACATTTTATTAAAGTACTGTATAAATTGTTTCTCTGATTCCTTGTATGCTCTTTGTATCGCACCAGATTCCCTCAGGTAGACTTCCAATTACAGAAGGAAAAAATGATTTCTTTTTTGTTCTGTCTCTTTTTGTTTCTTTCTTTCTTTGTTATTTTCTGTTTGTATGCTTTAATAAAACACCAGTGATAGCTTTTCCACTGCACATGGCTAAATACTTAAGAACAGATAAGAACACATACATGAAGTAAGAATGAATTTTTAAGACAATTCTTGAGCAATATCTGCAAGCACTTCATTGTCTCTCTAGGGAACTGGGCTTTCCCCTTAGCTGCCAGTGTAATACATTTCACAGCACACAGATGATACAAAGCTGCCTGTGTTAGTCCTGGTTTGTATCAGGGAGCATTGGGAGCCAGAGCTGCAAAAGCTTCATCTATCTTTGAGGCTGTCGATTACTTTCAACTGGAAGGGAAGTGAATATAAACTTGGGTCTTTAGCCAGTGAAGATGTAGGCATTTTCTTGATTTTTACACACTACACTGTCTTACTGAAGTTAATGAGTGTAAGTTTGTAGAGCAGTTTTTATGGATTTTATTTAGTCTGTTTTAAATATAGTGACGGTGTGGGCCAAAGCATCTTTCATGGAAGTGATGAGAACTTGGCCACTGATTTTCCAACTAAGAATATGGTTTTGCAATACTAGCTGAAAGAAAGGTCCATTAAGGACAGAGCAGAGACATCCTATTAATTTATTTATGTTAAATGTAATGTAAATTGGGTGAATTAATAGCATTTTTGTATATGAATTACTGTTAATAGTAAAAATTAATAGGATACTGAATCTTTTATTCTTCATGAGGGTTTAATCCTGCATGACTTACAAATATGAGCAGCAATACATCATGCTCTGGAAGAAGAAGTAAAATCAACATATATTTTTTTTTCCTATCTAGATTAATATGCCACAGGGTGCTGATTTTCATTATATAATCCATTCTGGGAATGGCAGTAAACACCATTATTATTATTTGGAAATAATGTGATTGCAATTAGCAATTTGAATCTGCTAAATTATTAAAGTCTACTTAAATATGAAGAATCAGGTTTTCTACTTTAATGAAAATTTCTAAGGAGATCATAATCTGCATTTTATTTTACATTGCATTCTCCTGACTATGTTGGATTATCATCTTCTCTTTTTTACCCCAACCTTTCTAAGTTTTCATCAACATAAAGAAACAAGTCACAGGAACACATGCCCAGTTAAAAAATACTCTATGTACATCTTTTACCCTGTCTCAATTCCACTTGGTTATTAATTTTAAAAGGTTACAACACTTAAGACCATGTGAGTTAAGTTTCTTAACTTCATGAATCATCTTAGTCTACAACTACATTATATAACACTACTTAGTTTTCACACACAGAGGATATTTGCAGAACTAAACAAAGATTTTCTGACAGTATCTAGGTTTTGAAGATTGGTCTGTTTAGTGTCAATACTATCTCCCCAGGAAGTCAATAGTAAAGAGAGTCACTGTAAAAATGTCTGTTGATTTCCAATAAGAACTTTGTATCAAGGTGGAGAACCTTGCCAAATTGGTATTAAGCAAATCATTTAAACCCAAAAAAGGGGTGTGTGTGCAGGTGCTTCTCTATAAAAGCATATACCTGCCTGATTAAGCCTGCAAATGCCTTTAGCAAACTGGTTGCCAACTTCACCAATGTATTACTCCAGTTTTACACAGTGCTTAATGTCCTGACAGCAACTAGAGCAGTGCAGTGGCAAATCAGCCCCTCGGCCCCAAAGGCTCAGGTATCCTTGAAGAGCTTACACTTACTGCTTTGAGTAAACATACAGATCTGTGCAACAGCAGCATGTCATTTGGTACATGCACTTAATTTGGATTACAGACTGGAACAAGACTGTAGCCTGCCTGTTTAGCCAGGTGAACATTGATCTCTCAGACAAAATCTTGCAGTCATGGTCCAGCATCTCCCCATCTTGGAACCTCCTGCTTCATTTGCTGGATCTGCTTCTGTAGTTCATCTCTGTCCAGCTTCATTTTTGCTTCTAGAACTTGTCGTAGAGACCCAATGCTCTCATAGATAGCCGCAAATCCTAATTGCAGGTGAGAATTATATTAGTTCAAGAGCATCACATAATTACTATCAGAATGCACCACCCACCATAACACTCTGCTTTGCACATCCTAGTGTGAAACTGCAGACGTTCTGAAGAAAAATAGGTGTTAATTGTGTGCTGATGGCAAAAAGGCCCCGACTGCAGCTGAGCTATGTGTGCTCTGGGGACAGAAATTCCAAGGTAGTAAGATGTCACTTCTTACTGCTGTGAATTTCACACTTAGTGAAAATCTTATTGCCACAGATGTAGCCCCCAAAAGTATTTAAACTACTTTGATACAAGCAAAGACAATTTGCACATTATTCTAAATTAATCACTGTTACCACAATTCAGAACAAAGAACTTGCTAACTGTGGTCATACCAGCATTAACTTCGGCTTTCATTTCTTTTATATCCTCATTTATCTCATTTTGAAGTTTGCCAATGCGAATATTTATCTTTTCTTCAGTCTGTTTTGCTTCATGTGCTTCCATGGTTATCTTCTGCATTGCTTCTATTTTGTCAATTTTCTCTGCCATTTGGTTGAATTTGATCTCAATAGCTCTCTCACTCATTTCCTGGAGCCGGGAAAAAGAATTTTAATTATTTACTCTGCATATGAAATTACAGTGGTTTTTCCAAAATATGAAGCCGATATTGATTAAACAGTCTGTTTTGCTTCATGTGCTTCCATGGTTATCTTCTGCATTGCTTCTATTTTGTCAATTTTCTCTGCCATTTGGTTGAATTTGATCTCAATAGCTCTCTCACTCATTTCCTGGAGCCGGGAAAAAGAATTTTAATTATTTACTCTGCATATGAAATTACAGTGGTTTTTCCAAAATATGAAGCCGATATTGATTAAACATCTCTGGAATTCATTTTTTGTAGGGAATCAGAGTTTTTTATAAAATTGTTTTAACTGACTAGATTACTGTAGGCTAAAATACTGATCTGTTTAGGAGTGATCAGATTTATTTAAAGATTCTCAGGCTGTGGGGTTGTTATACTTGACATCAGTGAAAAGACATGCAAATACTGAAGCAGTATGAAAATCTCACTCAAATAATGTCTCAATTACATCATCTTAGCTATCAATAATGCTTTGTAATATTTCCTGAGAGGTACTCTAGGACATCTTAATGCAACTTACAGTGTTTTCCTTAAAAGTCAGGGACAGTTGGTTGACTTTTTGCACAAGCTCTTTTTCAATCCTTTCATGTTCCTGTTCCAACCAGCTACGTGCTGACAAAATCTGGCTGCTGAGCTCCTCAATAGCATTTTTTAATCTAAGAGCACAATAGAAGTTAGCAGATATGAAAGAGCAGAACTAGTCATTCAGCAGTGACTTTTTATGAACATGTTCATAAAAAAACCATAATGGCAATTTGATACATTCTTCACACCATATTGAGGTGACACTTTGAACTTCAAGGCTACTCAACTGGAGAAGGTAACATTGTTTAGAAAATAAAGGTGAAAGAGCACAACAAAATAGCAGTTGTTTATGCAAAACACATTGCAAATTTTGAAGCATAGTTGATGAAAACAGACTATAGTCATCCATTCAGATTATAATCTTTGTGTTCATAGGTCCTAGAACTGAACAAAGATTTGGTAACCATTCACTTTGGTGGCAATGCTGGTTCATGTAGCCCCAATTGCATTGCCTGTACCCACCTCAACTTTACACCAAGCAATTGTGCCAGTGGAACTCTTTCTTTTCTCAGTGAACATATGAAATCTGAATTTATTCTCTCATCTGGTTTGCAAATAGTTTTCCTGATGCGACTGGTGGGATTGCATGTGGATAGCAATAAGCAGCAAGGAATGAGGATGTGCATGGCTTATGCCAGGAGTGCCTCTGAGTGAAAACCTGGAGAGGAGTTAATATCTGAATTGGATATATCCCCATATAACGTCTGGTAGTAGCACAGTAGCTTATCATGAATCATTTAGGTATTTCAGTTATATTCATATTTAAAGCCAATGTAAAGCAGTAACACTTTGTGACTGCTGTGCATTGCTTCCTGCTTGCTTGAGTTGAACTCTTTGCCCTGCTCTGAACAGCCACCTCCAGCATTCATTGCTTTGTACAGTTCTTGCAGAAAGGCACCAGAACACTCTTACAGAAATCCTTAGTTGTGTCCTTTAATAGAAATTCTGCCTGAATCCTTGACTAGGGACTTAATGGGCTTTTCAAAATTGCCTAACTACACTAGGGGCAGAATTCTTGGTGAATGCAAGTCCCACTTGCAAGACCATTGTGCTTTTGTAATATCTGTGGAGCAAATATACATATTCATAGAGGTTCGTGCTTTTGTAGACCTGAAGACTGCAACAGCTAGACTTGGAAAACTGAGGCTCTGCCTCCCAAGGTGCACAGCAGCAGCAGCAGCAGCAACTTCCCAGGCACTTACTTCGTGTCCAGGAGTTGCAGCTGTTGGTTGCTCTCTTTGTAGGCAATCTTCATCTTTGCTTCTTGTTGCATTATTGATTGCTCTACTCTGCTCAGCAGATGAGAAATCTGAAACAAAATTCAGAATTTAGTATTTTTCAACAGCATTTCATCAGAGTCTCATTTGGAACATTTTCATAACAGTAGAGGAGGTCTTAAGGAGAGGTCAGCTTTGTTAACATTTCAAAAATTATTGACTTTGCATATTTTACTTTAGAATGAACAATACAATATGAAAGTATCAACATTTGAAAAACTGTAATTTTTTTGCCTTAAATAGCTTGAATAGTTTTGCCTTGAAAGTGTCTGCCTGCTTCCCCCTTGAGACAAATGAATTTGCACGATCCATAAATCTCTGAGTTGCCACACAAGCAGAGCAAACAAATGGCAAAGCATTCCACCAGCACTGAGGGATGTGCTCCATCACTTTGTATGTAATGGCAACTGCAGTGACAGAAGTGCTGGGTTTAACTGGGGATAGGTCTTTACTGGAAGAAAGTATCTCTTACCAAAACAATCATCTCACTTTTACAAAACATACTGTTGTGGTTTACAAGATGCATAACAACATGCTCCTGGTGTGCTAATACACTGCACTGAGTCTTTTGAGAAAGTGGATTTTAGCATTTACCTACGACAAAATGCAAATGTAAAATACTTTTGTTGACCAAGAAAATGGGAAGGCCCTGAGAGGGAGATATGAAGAATCCTTTTCCTTAATGTCGTAAGTCTCTTCATGTATCTAGTGCTCACTTCCATTCTTCAATGGAAGAGAAACCTGACAGATAGATTTATGGATTCACAGAACCCAAAGCCAGTTTTGTTCTGCAGACCTTCAAAAATTGTGCTCAAATACATATAGAATCATCCTTGGAAGGCCAAAACATACAGGGAGAGACAGTGATGCTTCCATTGTTGTAGTTTAGTAAAGCATCCATGCCATGTTCACGTTCCAACCTCAAGAAGCCATTCAGGCCAGTATTCACTGACTTTTGTTCATTCTTGGAGTCCTTTCAGGTGTCTTTACACAACAGTCCCTTCTACAGAGCATGCTGAATGCAGAAAGTAAGGACCTTTTTTCAGTTAGACCAGCACAGTAATGCAGCTAGGTACCAATATTCAGCGTAATAATAAGGACTGTGAGCAGATACACCTCTCCCTTTGTAAATCTGTTACCTCCCAGGATAATAACTAACAGCAATGGAGTCTGTGTGAATTAGACTATAACTCTTGCCTGTACATGGATTGCTTTGGTCTAAATACCATACCTGTATTTCTGCCTCTTTGATTTTAGATTCTAAGATCAGCTTGGAGGTGTGTTGGTCTTTACTTAGGCTCTGAAGTCTTTCATATGTAATTTTATGCTCTGCAGACAGTCTGGCTAACCCAGCATCACACCTGTTTGAACAGACAAAAACAAAGCAATAGCTGAATAGAATCTAAGGTTCAGGCTTTTAAAATTATCCATTTTATGTGGGGCATGTCTGTGAAATTTCTGGCTGTCTAGGGAAACAATGTCTTACGAGACTGTAAGAATGGTTAATATAGCTCTTAGTATTCAGCAAACTGCTGCTAATGGGCCTCGAGGTCAAAAAGTCTAATTCATACACTCTAGTTTTCTTGGCACTGACATTATATAGGTAGACTGTGTTATCAGTCAGGGAAATCACATCAGAAATGCAATGATGCATAATTTCATCACCTTGTATTTTTATCATACTCTAGAAGATACCTGATAAGGTGTGCATGATTTTGCCTACATTATTAGAAGCCTAAATAATTGAGGGTCATTTTTTCATTACTGTAGTTCTGTATTTTTATTTGTGAAATAGTAGTATACAATTAATATGTGTAGCAATCAACGTGGGGCAAATTTTACAGTTCTTACTCTTTATTTAGGTAAATAAATAAACTGTCATTGGAAGCAATGGCAGTTTTTTCCTCAGAAGGTACTATGAAATGAAGTCCTGGAACATAATAATTATTGTTTTCTTTCTTCACATTGGAATATTTCTTGATGCTGTAACATTTTCAGGATAAATGTGCTATAGAATATGTGCATTTTCAACCAGATTTCAACTATAACTTCAGCCAGGTGGATTTCATCTACAGTAATACAATAAGGGCATTAACTGAGCTGTAAAAATACAAGTACTGTGATTTCAGGAGTAAGACCTCTGTGAAATATGACTCATGTATATTTTTTTGCTAAGGGATATATGTAATCACCATTGTTACCAAATTTGATGTAGGAAACTGATGGGGAACAGACAGCAGTTACAGTCGGAGGGAGAGAAAGGCAGTGAAATTGAACAAGCTGAGGCATGTTAAGTCATTACCTAAACCAATTACACACTTTATCCTCTTTTTAGTCACGTTTCAATTCGAAGCTTTCATTTCAACATGCATTTTCATCACCTCGGTTACAGTAACTACCATTAGCATTAAACATGAAGGGAAAGTCACAGCTAAAATGACAAATGGAGCATCTGCTTATTGTTATGGTACGATTTCAACAGGAAAATAATCAGCAATGTCAAATAGCACATAGACATCATAAAGCTTGTGGAAATTGTAGTTTAGCAGTTCAGCACTGTAAGAACAATTAGTAACATCTGCAGGAAGCCCAGCTAAGGTTTACATAGCAGTGAACCATACTTGTAGGTCTCACAATCAGGCAGTTTCTTTAGGAAGACAAGGGAAGCCAAATCTCTCCATGCTGTTATGATCAGAGAGAATCAGAGGAACAAAATCATCTTGCATCTAGTCACCAAAAGGCTATGGACTCCAAAAAATGGTTAGTTTTGTTTCTCTGAGGCACGACAGAAAATATAAAAAGGAGCAGCTTTGGAACTACTGAAGCAAATGTAAACAGCAGGCATCTGTAATTGTTTGTAAGGCAAATTAGTGTTTGGGGTTTAATCACAGAGCATCTCTCTTCTTCACGGAATTCAGTTACATGATCAAAGGTTTCATGTAGTTGCATGGTAACTGGAACATTAACATTCTGACTATGTTAATTTAGTGTCAGCCTGGTACGTATTGATCAGATTGTTTTGGGTTTTCTGCCATGTATACTGCACACACTTACAAACATTTGATTAGTTTTGACCTGAAAGAAAATCTCAGTGTTCAGCATCAAGGAATGAGTTTCTGATCTTAGTTCTGTGAGTGCAATTTTGAGCTAAAATGTTATAACAGTTAAGTAACGTCACCCTGTGATTCCACTTTCCCTTTCAGAAGGGGAGGGAAGGCAATAATATGATGAACACATGGAAAAGCATGGGCTTCCTAACACTTTTGGTCCAGGTTTCTACTGCATGATGGGTCGGAAAAAATCAACAATCTAAACACAAGGGAACGTTATACTTAGGAATTTTTCCCTGTTCAAAAAAAAAAGAAAAGAGAGAGAAGGGAGAAAAAAAAAGGCACACTACAATCCCCACTGAATCTCCCATACCTCTGAAAGCTCTCCTTTGAATCTTCTTTATAGATTCATATTAAAATTACAAAAGAATTCTTCTTGACAATAGAACTAAATGTTTCTGAACACTGTATTTAATTTAATCAGACCATCTATAGAAATGTAGCCAGTGGGCTAAGATATAAAGACAGAAGCTGAAAACAAATTTCAAGGTTTGGTCATCTCAAAAGCACAAGGAAAGACATGAGAAATAGATCAAGATTTCTAGGATGGATACTAGTTTAAAAATACAAGAGCTGTGTATAAAACAATTGTGTACAAAGAAGTGCACAATAAATAATTCTCTGAAATGCTGAAACTGTCCATACAGACAACCCAGTGCAGTTTTTCATATGCAGTTGTGCACATGCACTGTTGAAATTTGGACCAAAGATGCACTAGAATGTGTTCATTTTGCCACTGTTTCATTTTGGAGGACATTTTCTGAAAGTTGTGATTGCAAGCTGTGTACATATGTGAAACTAGTAACTGTCCAGTCACTCGTGGTGTTCCCCAGGGG